CCCCCCCCCTGCCATTTCACTCCCCGTCATTAATCTCTCCCACTTCTACCTCACGCTCCTGACAGCATGACCCGATCTTTCCAACCCACCTTCACCGAGAGCGGGCACAGCAGCCTGTCTTGGCTCGCCAGCCCTCTAGTGGCAACTCTCAGTTCTGCAAGTTGGGGACAGGCAGAAAAGGTTGTTAACTCAAATGTTTAACTACTAACTACACTAACACTGATCAACCTTTGAGAAACTTAAAGTGTAAGATGTAACCAAATCCTAAAATACTCGCTGTGTGCTGGCAATGGGGCACACAGACCTGAGTGACCGAACATCTCGAGCTTCTCCCTCATCAGGTTATAATCAATTTCTTCATACACAGCATCAGTTAAGGGCCCTGAGTATCTTCCAGAGGCTGAAAACAAATGTAAGGTTTTACACAGGGTCATGGAAACAGGACATGTTAAGATAGGAAATGTTAAAGGGTCCTCCAGCCTTTCCCTTTGGAGCTCAGCTGAGCCCTACAGCACACTTCTATGGCCTTGTCCAATTTAAAGAAAAATATCCAATGTGGCACTGAACAAGCCTATTCAAAAACTTCCCTCTGGAAACCATTACATGGGCTACGCCCCTGTTACAAAATCTTGTCTTACACTCACCCTAAATCTTTCCTATTTACTACCATCGTAAGACTCTGACAATTCCCCAGTTTCACGTAATGGAAAAGTAAATACAGTCACACTTCCACTTGCACACCCAGATGCACACATGCACCTACTTTCAAAATGGAAACATTGACACTGGGTTCTACTGAAAGTTGTAAACTAGAGGTTGCAATAAGGGGGAATTGCCACCCCTCATTCTGCCAAATATAAGAATTTTCCCCCACCTTCCTTTTTCTACCGTTTGTTTTTCTTTGCTCCTTTCTCTTTTTTTTGCCAGCGATTTCCTAATATTTCCTTTCCTCGTAGTATCCATCCCACTGATCTGTCTCTTCATGAACACTTCCACAAGTGGAGTTTCTAGCAGTTTTCCAAATACAAACCCAACATTATAGTTATCGTCCATATTTCCCATCTCTTTATTCTCCCATGAAATCTTGCTTTGTCTTGACCACTCTCCTGAGCTTGCCCCAGTTCAGCTTGGTTTGCATATTTCCCGGGACCCCTGCACAACTGTACTGCTCAGTCACTGGTGGTAGGACTAATTTCACAAGCATGCTGGATCTCCCTCTCACAGCTCTTCCAGCATCCTCCCCTCCTCAGCTGTACCTCCCGTTACCTTCCAGGCCTAGGTTGCATCACAGCTCTGCCACTGGCCCTCCCTTCACCTGAACTTCCCTCTGCTGTTGCAGAGCATTTTTTCCATGGTGAGACAAATGAGGACTCACCTCTGCGCAGTGCCCTGGTGCTTTGCACCTGTCCCCCCAGCATGATCAGGACCAGGCAGAGAAGGGCCCCCAGGACAATGCAGATGACTATGGGCACCATATCTCTCCCACCTGTCAGAGATGGGCGCTGAGGTGGTTCTGGAAGAAAAGGAACATGCAAGAGGCAGAGACTTCTGGGAGAAGCAGGAGGGCATAGGGGAGAGATGCAATCTCTAATTAAACCACCCATGGCATCAAGTTCAGTGTTGAAACACAAGGCAGTTTGTCATGGGGGCAGCTGTGCTAGGAGCCACTGGACAGGAATGGTTCCTGCTCAGCACCCACTGCAGCTCCCACCCTAGGTAACAGTTTTGGTGAACCCCTCACTCCAGGAGCTGGAGCTCATCCTTGCAGGGTAGAAACAGATGTTGTCTTTGTGCCCCTATACAAATGTTTATACAAGTGCAGAGGTCAAGCCAACAGATGTCCATAGCCTTTGCTGCACCACAAATGCCCAAAAGGTTTAGCCACAACATCACTGAGCAGAACTTCCTGGTGGCAGACATATTTTAGGTTTATGGTGGGAAAGCGTGTGCAGTTTCCCAGTTTGGGCCGTGCGCAGGGCAGGGACTCCAATGGCTTGATCTTCTTTACTGCAGTAGTTCCTGTTTCTGGGATGCACAGCATCAGGGCCCTGAAGCTTGGTGTACTCCTCCCGGGCGTCCCCATTTGGACTCTCCAGGCACCCACAGATGCTCCGTTGAAGTGCAAGAGCTGAGACCAGAAAGCAGCCGATTGGCAGTGTCAGGCACTGGAGCACACCAGAGTTGGCTTTCACCACTTAAAAAGATGCACCTTGGAGATCCCTGGAGTGTGTCACCACAAGCAGAGAAAGCCCATGTTCTGTGCACATGCCCAGGGACTCCCTGAGCCATGTCTCTAAGCAAGGCAAGCTGTCGTTACCCACTTACAGAGATGAAACCCAGAGTTTGTCTGTGGTATGTATCTGCAAGTGGGAAACCCCGGTTTTTCCCACTTAGAAATACATGCCCCAGGGAATCTCTAAGGCACATCTGTGTCAGGAGGGAACATGTTGCCCTTGTCCTATAGGACTGGCCCCCTGCCCTGTCCAGGGCAACAAGTGACCTGCGTTTCATCCAATGAAGTAGATCAGCGGTGTTGGGACATATCCCATCACATGAAATCTGGTTCTTGTGCTGACTTCTGTTTACAACCTCAGGATGGAGATTACAGGTCATCATCCTGGGAACCCAGCACCAGTGAAATGTAGCCCCCAGTGAAAGCAAGGCATCTTACCTGTTCTGTCTGGGGATGCAGTAGCCTCGCTCTTATCTGCAAGGAAAGAGAGAAGGTGAGTGAAAGTCTGGAGGAAGGGGAGATGGCAGGTTTGTTACCAGGAGAAGGCACACTCTGAGAGTCTTGGTGGGAATCTCAGAGGTGGAGACTGGTGACCAAGAGTGGAAGTGGGGCCTAGTGGGTATCACTGCCTCATTTCTGGATTTGTTGTCAGCAGACAGGGAGCAGGTGGGCAGGGTCTTCTTTTGAAAAGCCCTCTCAGGAGCACTGGGCACATCCTGTAGATGTAGCCTCTGTGCCTGCACCCCTCACCTGCACGTCACTTGTACATTGTGTCTCCTGCTTGAAAAACTGAGAGCAAACCAGCAAGCCCTGCTGCAGAGCTGGAGTTAAGGTTTCGTTACATGTGCTCCAGGGTGGGGCAGGTTCGCTTTAATTAGAGCGGCCATTTTGAAGTATAGGGATGCTGAATACAGGTGATGTGGAGGCTGCTGGAGTGTGTTAATTAGCATGCTACATCAGACACAATTAATAAAGTGTGCTTCAAGATGTGCTAATTAACACATGTCAGAGCAGGAGTAGGGCCTGCATATAGGTGCCCAGACACTTTTAGCTTAAGTGTCCCAGAGGATAATGGCTTCACAGCCACAAATCTAGGGTTCTCCAGGTCTACCAAGAAGACAGAGCATCTGTCTAAAAGAGGGAAACAAATGTATGAGTATCCCTGAGCTGACACAGAGTGGAAGCAGAACAAGATCAAGAACCAAATGTTGGAAACAGCCCAACAACAACTACGCTCATAGTTGAGGACCCCAAGATGCTATGTTACATCCTGCTACTTACTAATGCCATTGGCACACAATAAACAACCAGCCTGTGCACAAGTGCGCGCTGTGTCAAGGAAAAGGTGAGTCCAGTGGAGACACTGGTGAGCAAGAAGAGCCCCATGCCTCTCTCCCACGGGGCAGGGTTATATCATATATTGGTTAAAGCTGTCATTTTGTTTCATTTCTCTACTGAGGCAGGTTCATGTGCTGCTACCCAAGCACTGGGTTGGACTAATAAGCTGGACAGTTGGTCACCAGTCTCTGTGTGTTAGTTTGAGGGCAGTCGCATGTCAGAACTGGGGTGCACTGGTGTTCTTGTGCAGCAGCTCCCGGCAGGGCAGGGCTGTATGGTACGGACATAGGGTCCTGTGGCTGGCAGATGAATAACACATCAGCACAGTGGACGATGTATGTATGGAGGCTGGCGCTATGGGGGCTGATGCCTTCAAAACCAGGGCCCACAAAACCTTTCCCATCCCAGCCATTAGATCATGCATTGAGAAGATGGTGCCCGGTCTGTGGACAGACAGAAGGATCCAGCCAATGAAACACTTTCCCCAGCCCACCTCCAAACCTGCATCATGGATGAAAGACACTGTCACTCACTGGTGCAGATCACAGCAGCATCTTCCTTATGGTGACACTCATTGTTACCCCAGGGCTCAGCACAACAGTCCCACAGAGACGACTCTGTCCCCTTGCAGTTCAGCTTGTCCAGCCAGATGGGGCCAGTCCCCTTCCCAAATTCTGCCTCACTCAGAGCAGACTCAGCAGCTCCACAGCCCAGTTGTTTGCACACAACAGCAGCATCCGCCATGTCCCAGGAGTCATCACACACTGTTCCCCAGGAGCCACGGTGCCAAACCTCCACTCTCCCCGAGCATCCGTCCTTTCCTTCCACAACACGCAGCTTCTCCTTTTCTGGGAAAAGCAGAAACTACCTTACTTGGGAGCTGGGTAAGGCCTGAGGGCAGATGGAGGAGATTCAGAAAAGGGCAGAGGTACCTGTGCAGCTTGTGGAGTTTGGACACTCGGCAAACTGTGTTGGAGTTGTTTTCTCTTTGCTTCCTAGGTTAAAAAAAACACATGCTGTGAATGGGCTGGTTAGTGTGTACATTTTGAGGGAGAGCAGAAGTTACCAGTACTCTCAATTATGATATTACCATTATATAAATATGAATTTTAAGTGTGTTTAACATACAGTGGGTGTGCAACATCCCTGAATTTCAATTCCAGCACATGCTGTGAATGGGCTGGTTAGTGTGTACATTTTGAGGGAGAGCAGAAGTTACCAGTACTCTCAATTATGATATTACCATTATATAAATATCAAATTTAAGTGTGTTTAACATACGGTGGGTGTGCAACTTCCCTACAGTTCAATTCCAGCTGTGTTGCTCCATGGCAGTGGTTTTTATTTTTTTTACAGTTAAGGTACCCTTTATGTAAGTCGAGACACCCTCTATTGTGTTGGTGAATTGAGTGACACCTTATATCAAAAGCTCGTTTATTTACTACAATGCTAACCTCCTTGTGGAGGGGCCACACAGAGCACCTAATGCACCAGCTGGTCAGGGACAAGCCCATGCCTGCACTTACCTTCTCACACCTGCTTATCTCTTCAAATGTCACAGCACCCTCCAAGGCTCTTGTGGCAGCTCAGGGTGCCCCAGATCCCCGGTGGAGAATCCCTGATCTATTGACACCTGATGCATTGTACTTCAGCCTGTGGCTGGTAACTGCATTGCCTTACAAAGAGATTTGAATGTAAAGATTTTTACTTAAGAACCAACCACATGGACAGCCTATAGACCAAAATTATGTCCTTTGATATGGCCTGAAAAATCAAAATCAGATCTCACACCAACTTTGACATGCACACCCAATATACGTGCATGCGTGTGTGTACATACAGAGGTGTTCATTTAAATAGAGATTGGAAACTGATCCTAAACTAAACTTCACAGCCAAGGCCCATATCCAATTGTTCATGTCTAATAGCCACACAGATGCACACAGGACTCTGTGAATGAGAGAATGAGAATCCTGTCTGTTGTTTTGGGGAATATAGAACTGTCTATACTGAAAAGGAAATATTTCTATTATAGAACTTCAGTGAATCAAACATGCAATGCAGGCGTGTGTACATACATGTACAAGTACGTGTCTTTTCATACACGTTTGTGGGCAAGAAATATCATCATTACCAGTACACTTAATATGGGTCTCTTCTCCCCGATTAGCACATGAGAGAGGTTTCCATGACTCTGACGGACACTGCCAAAGGGAGTTGTGATGCTCAAGGCACTGAACATGATCCAACCATGTGTGGCCAGAACCTTGTCCGTATGTCAAGTCTCCAACAATTTCCCCTTCATCTCCGCAGCCCAGCTGTTTGCATACAATTTCCACAGTGGCTTGAGTCATCTGGTTGGAGCAAATGCTTCCCCACGATCCATTGTAGAAAATCTCCAATCGCCCAGCACAGTCACTGCCATTCACCAGCCTCAGATCCATGAATTCTAGGAGGAAATGCACAAGAAGGAGGTCCAGCGGTCAGATTTGATACCATCTGGAGTGAAATCCCAGAGAGCACTGACAGTCTTGGGCACTGCTGTGGATAAATACTGCACACAATAACTCCAAGGATCAGCGACTCTTTGAGGCAGCGCTGGGCAATTATAAATACAAGGGTCACTTATGGAAAGGCACCACTTCTCAACGTATAGAAGCAGAAAGAGATGAGCAGCAGTAACTGTCTGTGATGGTGAGGACTGGCTAGCCCCAGACGAGGAAGAGATTAAAGAGATTTGCTGGGCTGGGTAGGCCCTACCATGCAGCCAATGCCAGGCCTGCAGGAGTGATTTTAAAGAAAGCCAGTCTCATAGAGGGGATGACTCTATTCTGATGTGCCCTGGCTCCTGGTCAGATGTCCTCCAAGACACAAACTAAGCAGATTACCAGGTCAGTGTCGTTTCTAACAGTAGGGAAGGCCAATGATTTCTCCCACACCCCAGGTAGGAACTAATGAGTAACACCATTATGATGAGGTCTGACAGTCCTGTGCACTCAGATGTATATGTGCTGCAGAGAAGAGCTCCAAGGATCAGTGACTCTTTTGAGGCAGTGCCAGGAAATTAGAAATACAAGGTTCACACGTGGAAAGTGGCCATTTCCTAACATTTACATGTGATACTGCTCTTTCTAACACTAGAGAAAGCCAATGATTTCTCCCAGACCTGCCAGTAGGAACGGATGAATAACACTATTGGTCATTTTTTATAGGCTCCAAGGTGGGGCTGGGGCACTTTAATTTTAGCAGATCCTAGGAGCCAGTCTAAAATGAAAATGCCCACAGCATCTCATGTATCAGTGTCCCTGAACTTCAAAATGGTAGCAGGGGTGCTTTAAGTAAAGCTAATTCAACAAGGTATAGTTAAAGTGCTCTTGCTGCCATTTTGAAGAACAGGGACACGGAGACACGAGATGAGGAGGCTGCTGGAGGCATGCTAATTGGCACATTTCAGCAGATTCTATTAATCGAGTCTGCTCCAATGTGCTGTAATAACAGTGCATAAGAACAGCCTCCACGCACGTCTACAAGCACCCATGATGACTATGTATGTAGTTAAGTGATCCTGGTATGAAAGGAGGAAGAGAATCTGAGACAGTCAGAGTGGTCCCTAGCATCGTTAGCTCTCTCCTCAAATATTAGTCTCCCTCTCTTATATCCTTGGTACCCAGTTTCAAAAAGAGCAGTCACAGAACAGACCTGAGCAAAGCACTCCTACATCCTCCTTGTGTCTGCAGTCGTGCTGCCCCCAGCCCCTGGAAGGGCACTCCCAGAGCTCGGATTCATTCCCAGAGCAGTTCACATCATCCAGCCAGATCTGTTCTGAGCCTTCCTCGTAATGAACGGATGCAGCTGCCTCGACGGCGTGTCCACATCCCAGTTGTTTGCACACAACAGTGGAGTCTGTTCGGTCCCAGGAGTCATCACAGACAGTCCCCCAGGTGCCCTGGTAGTAAATCTCCACTCTCCCAGCGCAGCGACCTGTCCCATTCACCAGTCTGATCTGCCTGCTTCCTGCAAGGAGAAATCCTAGCTGTTCATGGGTAAGGGTGAAGCAAACTGAGAAGTTTATCTGCAAATCAGTGTTGATGCTGCATGGACTGCAACACCAATGCTTTAGGAATCATAGAGAAGACAAGAGATGTGTAGATTAAGGGAATATCGGAGCCTCTTAAAGAGTCACTCATTTCCATCATGTAAGAAAAGGACCTAATCCTGCATCTCTTATTCAGCACAACAACCCTGATAGCACCTCACCAGTGGGTGAGATTTAGTGACAGGAATAAGGTTTTTCTGAGCATGTCCTTCCTTTCAAACAGGTTTTAGATCAGAATTGTCAACAGTGTCTGGGGACATTACTATCAGTGGGGAAAATTACAACAAAAGCCATAGGCTTTGTTTATATTGATGGAAAATGATTGAGGAAACAGATTGCTGGAGAAAACAGCTCCGGCAGCCTTTTGTCTTACTGGGCAAGGGGGCCTGAGTGGGGCTGTCACTGTAGGAGGAGAGAAGTCTGCAGGAAGGACCGAAGACAGCTGAAGAAAGGCTGTGAGAGAGCAGAGAGCCAGGAATCACTGCCACTTCAGCAGAGAGCTGTGCATCAAGGGAAGGAAGAAACCTGCAGCCAGTCAAGGGACAACTGTCTAGTATAGACTGGCTGTAGCACTAGCAGCCAGGAGGCCAGTGAGCTACTGATGAGCTAAGAACCAAGGCAGACTGGTAGGGAACCAAGAAGTAAGGGCTGCAAACTGATGAGCTAAGCCCTAGCTGGGAAAGCAGGTAACCCTTAGTCCCAGGAAGGGAACAGCTGAGAGAGGCTGCAGGTGGGCAGGGCTTGGGAGGCACAACGAGCCAGTGCCTGACAGCAGATAGTCAATGGGGGCCTGTAAGCATCCAGGTAGGAGATCCCAAGCAGGAAGGCTGCAGGGGAGTGGTGGCTGGACTGGGAAGCTGCTCTGAGCTACCAGTAAGGCACTCTTGCTGGGGCAGCATAGAGGCCAGGTTACTGGAAGGCTCTTTCATATAGCCAGCACATTGTGGTTTATTTTGGGAGCCATCACAGGGTTTGTTTTGTGGTATAAGCAGGGTGCTCTCTCTCTTGTTGTATTTAAAGCAGTGGTTTGGGTTTGGGACTACAGGGGAGGTTTTGGAGGTCCCATTAGTGCCTGAGGGGCATGTGTGTCTGCCTTGAGTGGGGCAGGGGCCAGGATCAGGGCACTGATGAGGCCAGAGGGCCAGGAGCTCAGGCAGGCTGGAGGCAGGGGCTACAGAGCCTAACACTGCCCTGCCTGTCCCCCCATCTCAAGGTGCATTGTGCCCCAGCCCCGTTCTCCATGGGTGGCTGCGGCACAGGGTGCCTCAGTACAGGGGCTCCAGCTGCTTCATCGGTGAATCCAAGTGCTGAGGCACATGGAGAAAGGGGACCACCAGCCCAGGGCTGCCTGCTCCTGTCTTGCGGCACACAGCCATAGAGCGGCTGGCTGGGGTGCAGGGTGCCTCAGTGCACGGGCTCCAACAGCTCATGGAGAAGGGAAGCAGGGAGCCCTGGGCTGCCTGCTCCCATCTCCACGTGCTGCTCCCTGGCTGGTTGGGGCACTGTCTGCTGGCTAGCCCCCACGCCGAGGCACCCGGTGCCCCAGCCAGGCCCCCTGCACTACATGGAGCAGTAGGACAGCGTATCCTGCTGTAAAGCAGAGGAGCAGGAGCATGCACTGTAGCACAATGTACCGGCAAAAAATTGTGCTGCTACTATTTGTACTGCTGAAAACATGCTCTTGCTTGTGCCGACATGGTCCTTGTGTCCAAAAGGTGGTCTTATTGTAGGATTTGTTTTAACTGACCTGAGAGAGCAGCATTTGTTAATGAGAGCCCTGGCTCCTCTTGGGGCTTTGCCAGTATGACTATTTGGGAAGAATCTATGGAGTGCAAAATACTGTTATTTTTTCTGGTATATAATACTCTGATTTCTCTTCAGATCGCATAAATCTTTTGCCTTTTACTAAAGATTTCTATGGTATATAATACCTACATGTCAGCTATGATGGGGTTTCAGAAACTAATGGCTAAATGCATGCCCATGGTGTATGTCTGTGACAAAGCAGGGAAATAGAGAGCAGCAGGAAATACTGATGGCAGCGCACAAAGTATTTTTATTTCAAAATTGCCGTTAGTTTCTGAGACACCTTTGTACATTTATGGCAGGGTCCAGAGCTGGGATCCATACCTATTTGCATTCAGATAACTTCACAGCACAAGGGGGTGGCAGCACAGGCTCTGGGATGGCGATATTTCTACTGCACAGGGAAGAGAGGTTTGTAGGATTTTAAGGACAAGTCACCTGAACAAACGACTCCAACATCCTCAGCGATTCCTGCCGGCTCTGTCTCAGACAGGCTCGTGTTGCAGAGTGTCAGACGAGGCTCATTCCCTGAGCACTGGACACGTCTCAGCCCAACAAGGCCTGTCCCTCGTTCAGACTTCACGGGGTTATAGGCTTTCTCTGCGTCGCCACACTGGAGCTGCCTGCACACCACTTTAGCATCATTTATGTCCCACTGATCATCCAGGACTCTGCCCCACGCACCACTGAGGGAAATCTCGACTCGCCCGTCGCACCGGCTCTCTCCATTCAGCAGTCTGAGGGATTCAGAGTCACCTGGGCCCAGGAGAGATGGGAAATGCACTGAAAACCCCATGATATATTATCTACCATGCTAGACTCAGGGAAGTACAGCCAGGTGCCTCTACATGAGCAGGAAGGCTGCTCTGACACACTGTAATTACAGTGCATCCGAGTAGATTTGATTAATTGAGTCTGGTGGAGTGTGGTAATTACTGCACTCCAGCAGCCTTCTGCATCTCGTATATCAGTGTCCCCATGCTTCAAAATGGTGGAAGAGCACTTTATCTAAACCTTATTCAATAAGCTTTAGATAAAGCATTCCTGGTAATTACTGCACTCCAGCAGAATTCTGCATCTCATATATCAGTGTCCCCATGCTTCAAAATGATGGAAAAGGCACTTTATCTAAAGCTCATTCAATGAGCTTGGTGACCCCCCAACCCAAGCAAATGTATAAATGCCTTAAGTGTCTAAATAATTGGATACATGGGAAAGGGCAGTCAGTGCACTGCAATAATGCAAGGACTTGCCTCTGTCACAGAGCCTTATCTGAACAAGTAACAGCTGTTCCTGGGGAGCCGGAGCACTATTTCTTGAGCACACCGCAGGCACCCATGCTAAGAAGAGCTTCAGAGCAAGGGAGTGAGGGGCAGTATGCCAGTGGCAGGTAAAGTCTATGAGGGCAAGAAAAACATCTAATGAGGTCAACAGCTCTGATACTGCTTACCCCAAGACTCTCCCCTGCAGTGGCTCCTGCATGGACCTGTCCTCAGCAAACATGAGGACACTCGACTAGGGGCAACCCCAGGGAAGAAACTTAGCCAACGCAACACAGCATGTATTTGGACTGGGGAGAAGCAAAGCCTACTGTATAAAGTAGCACTGTCCTGCCTCAGCTGAAAGCCCAGCCTCTCACTCTCTGCTGTCCTGGACTTCATTCAAAACCCATCCAGCAGCTGCTGAAAAGCTTCAGGCAGGTGTCTATAGGGGTGTGATCTCAGGGCCTGGGTACAGCATCCTTACATTTCAGTATCACTTATGGCTTGAGTGTATCTGACTATGAAGAAAGGATGGTCCAAGTCCTTTCTCCATTGCACTATATCAAACAGGGGAGGGGACAGGAAGTGCCTGGGGAGAAGTTTCCTCTCTAATAAGTATCTGCATCTGCTCCCCGGCTCCCTACAGCATAAAAGGCAGACAGAGCTGCTGGGAGCACAGTTCCCCTGCCCTGCAGAGCATCAGATACTTCAGCAGTGGTCCATCTCCTGCATGTGGATGGGAAAATATGGTGATATGAAAAAAGAACAAATCAATGAGTTGGAGCAGACTTGATTAAGCAAGTCTGCTGGAGGGTTCAAACTAGATCGCTCTAGCACACTGCAGCATCTCATGTATTCAGCATCCTGTGTTTCAAAATGGCAGCGGGGGCTTTAACTAAACTCATCAATTGAGTTTAAGTTAAAGCACTCCTGCTGCAGGTTGGAAGTGTGGGATGCTGAATACATGAGACACCGTAGCATTTTATTTTAGACTGGCCCCCAAGAGCTGTTCTAATTAAAATGCCCCTCCTACCCTCCACCTTGGAGTACATGTATAGGCACCCTATGTTTTGTTCCTGTTTCAGGAAAGAAAAAAACATCATTTATGCAGCCTGAAATAGCTCTGTCCCTATCCTTTTATTTCCCCCCACATTTAGCTATTTTTTAATTCAGTTATTTGAGAATTTGGAGGGGAAATCTCTACATTCCTTCTTTAGTAAGATGTCATTCTCTGATCCCTCCTCCTAGCAGCGGTGTAACTAGGGTGGGGAAAGCAAAGCAGCCGCCCTGCTTGCAGACCTGTGAGGAGGGCCTTGAACAAGAAAGAGCTTTGCAGTGGTGGCACAAATCACATTAGTTGCAACCTGAAGACACTCATGTCCTTTTGTGGCAGGTTCCCTGAGTGCCTGGCATCATCATTATGCCTTTGCATCCTGGCCCCTGCCTCAAACAAACAAATGAAAAATGCCTCCCTAGGAAGCTACTGGCCCACTCTAAGGACAAGTCCAAGCTGTGGAGTGAAAAGATCCCAGCCGTGGGAGTGCTTCCTCTGAAAGTGTGCTGAGAACTGACACACACATGTGGGATCCACAGACTGAAATAAGAGCAGCCCACCTAGATTTCCCAGGTAGGTGAGGCTCTAACTGGGAAACAGCAGACACTAGAGACAGATCTGGCCAGAACGCTGTCAATGAGTTGGGTTTGTTTTTTTTTCCATCAGAACACCAATTTTTTTCAGAAAGAAATATTTTTTCAAAGAAACCATTGGGTCTGGTTACCTGTGAATTTATAATATTTATTCTTGTAGAGTATAGCTGTTCAAGGAGGAGAGACTGACTCCCCAAGCCAAAGATTAAAGCACTCTCTGGGAAAGGGAAGACCCTAGTTCAGTGCACGCAGAGCTGAGGCTTAAGCTGGTGTCTCTACCCCAGTACGAGACTCTCTCCAGAGACCAGTGGATGTTACTGGGGTTCACAGATGCTTTTTCTATAAGAAATGTAAACAGCTCAGATCTGGTGCTGATCAGGAATGAAAGGAAATCCTGAAATCTTGTTTCACTTGTGTCACAACTGCCCTGGGTGCCTGCTCCTGCGAGGGGTGCAACGGGATGGAGGATGCAGGAGCTCAGCAGCTAGTGCAGGAGTGGGCAAAATGGTGGATCCAGCCAGCAGCTGGACTCCATTTTCCAGCACCCCCCTGTCTGCGTGGCTGTGGCTGGTTTCTATCGAATCCCTGGCACCAGCTGCGCTGTGATAGTGGGGGGCCAGGGTTTCCATAGAGACCGGCTCCAGCAGCACAGCAGGGTGTGGAGGTGCCCCGGGACTGGGCTGGGATCTTGCAGTGGTGAAAGCATGGTCTGGAGCTGGGGCAGAGCCGCAACCTGTAGCCTGCATGCTCCAGGCAGGGGTGTGCAAGCAGCAGATAGTGGCTCTGCCCTGCATCCTTGTAGTGGTGACAGCCTGGTCCAGAGCCAGGGTGGAGCATGCAGGCTACAGGTTGCGGCTCTGCCCCAGCTCCAGACCATGCTTTCACCACTGCAAGATCCCAGCCTGGTCCTGGAGCAGGTCCCTGCCCCTCCACCTGCCCTGCCAGCACTGCTGGGGGCCGTCTCCATGGAAACCCTGGCCCTGTGCTATCACAATATGTGAACTATCCATGGAAACCAGCCCCAGCCACATGGGCAGGGGCTGCTGGGAATGGAGTACACTGCCACCCAGATCCAGGCCACGGACTTGACTTTTCCTTCCTCAACCTAGAGTGACCTTGAGAACTGAGCAACCTGCTGTGCAAAGGGAGAGGCAAGCGCTCCTTTTCATCTTGTTCAGTCTCCTTCATGGGGAATTGGTCTCCAAGCAGTAGGAAAAGTTGCTGAGGTTCCTTCTGAGGATCTAGGAGTTTCCCAGATAATAACTATATTCTAGCTAAACAATCCTTCAGTTTGAGTCTACTTCACCCTTCCCTGGCAGAGCCCTGAGAGTCCCCCGAGTACCCCACCATGAGGAGTAGATGTAACTAACTCTGTATCGCTCCTGCACTTACCTGAGCAAATCACACCAGCATCACTGTCCTGTGAGCATGTATAGGCCCCCAGCCTGGTAACAGGGCAGTGCCACAGGAGGTGTTCAGTCCCATTACAGTGAAATGTGTCTTCCCAGACAGTGCCAGTTCCCTTCCCAAAGTGCCCTCCTCATGGAGCAGACACAGCGACTCCGCAGTTGAGCTGACGACAGAGAACGTGGGCATCGGATAAATCCCAGCGCGAGTCACAGAGGGTGCCCCAGGCACCGAGCACCTGGACCTCCACTCTCCCCGAGCACCGTGTGCTGCCGTTCACCAGCCTGAACCCTGTGAACCCTGGGGAGAAGGGAGAGGGTGTTTCAGAGAGGAGATGAATAGCCCACGTGCCAGTCTACACCAAGCATGTATAGAAGGGAATGGGAAGTTGATTCCTTCCTCCTTGTCTTGGATTATTTTAGGTTTACCATGAGCTAATCCCAGTCATTATTCCCTTCACAGTTAGGTTGTGGGCAAGAGCCCCATGAAGCACCCTGTAAAAGGAGGTGTATTTTTAGAATACATCAGCAGCTGCACAGTACCTGCCCATGAGTCAGAATATAACCTTTGTTATTATGAAGCCTAATGAGGGACAAGACCACAGTGAACAAGATGTGAACTATCACCGGTTACCCTTTATCATCAAGTAACTGTGTGTAAATAAGTGTTTTCTGTGAAGCAGCTGACATGCAGTGCCCTGCCTCTCCACCTCCCTCCAAGTTTTCCTGCAAGGCAGTTAGTTGATTTTATAGCTTTTTAGTGATACATCCTCATCTAGAGCACACATTAATAGTATTTTAGACATGGTATTGAATACTTACTTGAGCATATGACACCAACATCATTTCCATGCAAACATGATTGATCCACGTATGGTGTCCTGGGGCAATAAAGGAGATGAGGCTCATTCCCCACACACTGGAAGTCTTCAGTCCATATGGGCCCGTGTCCTTCTCCGAAGCGAGCTGCTCCTGGGGTGGATACAGCTGTTCCGCACTGTAACTGGTTGCAGAGGACACTGGCAGCCTTGAGATCAAAGTGGGAATCACAGATGGTTCCCCAGGTGTCTCCCTGTCTTATCTCCACACGTCCTACACAGGTTCCAGGCCCTCCAACCAGACGGGCTTGATGACCTAGAATGTCAACAAAGGCAGGAATATTCAAAGTGCTAGTTTAGGCCTGGACACCCCTCCCTGAGAGGTCTTTTTTTAAGAGCTCATTGTCGGGGATGCTGATGAGGCGGAGCAGTGTGTGCCCAGTGCTTTCAGGGACTCCGAGCAGGCAGGCCAGCCTGAGCCAAGTACCACAGCAGCCACACCTGCAGCAAACCACAGCTAATAAAATCTGCCCCAAGGTAGGAGCGACTGGTATATGGGCTGGCTGCTGGGAGCGCCAGCTATCCATGTAGCACCAGCTGGGGCCATGGGTCTGTATGTTGGGGCAAGCCTCCTGGTTACTAACTGTTTTGACCCTCTGCCTGGCACTCCCCGCCCTGTTTTTTCATGATTTGTCCCAAGAACTCAGTTGTCCCCTTTTTCTGTAGCCTCGCCGACTAAGGGAGGCCAATGAGAGACTTGGTGGGCTGTGCACACATGTTTTAAAGGTGGACAAATAGGTCTGGTTTCTAACCCTGCTTTTCAGCTTATTTCTGGACTGCAGCTTTGGATTTCCCTGCATTTCTGTTTCCTAGTTCCTGACCCTGGTTTAACTCTGCTTTTGGACTTTTCCCTGTGGATTGCTGCCCAGATTGGTATTTCACATTTGACCCCAGGATCCTGAACCTGGACTGTGTCATGGACTCTGTCTAGATCTTTCTCTGGCTTTGGTATATGCTTCCCACTCTTTGATGCAGCTCTAGGCCCTATTTTCCCTTGGTGGCTGTGTTGGAGCGAGCATGGACGGGAGGGAAAAAAACAGAGAGCGCCGCTTCTGGAGCCGTTACCATACAAGGGTAGAAGCTCCAAGAGAGGAGCGGAGTGGCGGGATGCGAGGTCCTAATGAGAGGAAGTAGGAAGAGAGAGAAGAGAGGAGAATGAAGGAGGATCCCCCGAAACATCTGCAGATTTAATTTGGTTGATGAGAACAATGGCATAGTTGAACACAGTGTTCAGGTTTCTGTGGGCATGTCTACACAAGTTGTTTCTTGTTCAGCTAATTAGCTCCACAGTGAAACATCACCATCTACACATGCCATGGTATTAGGGCAGAGGAAACTATTTAACTCTGCCACAGGAAAGTGCTTTTAAATATAAATAGATTCATAGATTCAGATTGTAGAGTCAGAAGGGACCACAGTGGATCATCGTGTCCGACCCCCTGCCCCTGGCAGGAAAGAGGACCGAGGTCAGATGACCCCAGCCAGGTGACTATCTAGCCTCCTCTTGAAGACCACCAGGCTAGGTGACTGCACCACCTCTCTTGGAAGCCCATTCCAGATCCTGGTCACCCTTACTGTGAAAAATTTCTTCCTAATATCTAACCTAAATCCACTCTCAACTAGTTTACACCCGTTACTCCTAGTCACTCCCTGGGGCACCTTAGTAAACAGTACTTCCCTTATTTCCTGTTGACCTCCCCTAATAACTTTATAGGCAGCCACAAGTTCTCCTCTCAGCTGTCTCTTGTGAAAGCTGAAGAGATTCAGCTCTCTCAACCTCCCCACATAGGGTCTATCACGAAGGCCACTAATCATGTGAGTGGCCCTCCTCTGGACCCTCTCAAGATTCCCCATGTCCCTCTTGAAGTGCAGCACTCAAAACTGGACACACTACTCCAACTGCGGCCTGACCAGTGCCACATAGAGGGGGAGCATCACCTCCTTTGTTCTATTAGTCATG